GGGAAATGGTTTTAAACTGGAAGAGGGCAGATTGAGACTAGATGTTATGTCTTCCTGTGAAGGTGGTGAGACACTGGCACAGGTTGCCCTGGAAGCATTCAAGGCCAGGCTGGATGGGGCTGTGAGCAACCTGGGCTATGGGAGATGTCCCTGCCTGCAGCAGGGGTTGGAAATGGATGATCTTAAGGGTCCCCTCCAACCCAAACCATTCTATGATTCTGTGATCTGTATTACCAACTCATGTTTACACAGTGAAACAGAGACAACTGTCTAGTGTCTGCCCCCTGCTCTATTGTTTGATGGTCTTGTGTTCATTGGTTACTTAGGCTCCTTCTGTGCTTGTGTTTTTCTCTCATCTCAGATTTGAACCGTGGTTTGCTATTTCCTTTGCTTAGGCACACGCAGGGTCAGTTACTGTAGGACTCGACCCATGATAAACATAAGTAATAAATATGTTGAAGTTTCTTTACTATGAGATGCTGGAACAGCTGCCCAGGGAGGCTGTGGATGCCCCATCCCCGGAGATGTTCGAGGCCAGGTTGGATGGGGCCCTGGGCAGCCTGGTCTAGTATTAAACGTGGAGGTTGGTGGCCCTGCATCTGGTGGGGGGTTGGAGATTCATGATCCTTGAGGTCCCTTTCAACCTTGGCCATTCTGTGTGATTCTGTGTGATTCTTTCTCAGGTGCTCAGGCCAGCAACCTGCTCTGCTCAGCCCTGTTTGTACATCAAACACAGAGAACACCGTGGTGGGGAGAATGGGATGTTGCTGGGATGCAGGAGATCTGCAGCGGTACCCTGGTCAGTTACGTGGTGTCCCCACCTCCCTGTCATTCTGTCCTGCCCACACAGAGCAGATGTCAATATCCAAAAATGGAACTGGTTCTCCCATGGTTTCTCGATTAGAAACTTGATGGTCTGATGGAGACCAAAACCCTTTCTGTTCTGGGTCAGCCTTAGCAGCTGCTTTTGTCCTGCAGGACGTGTCAGCAAGGCCTGGGCTCTCATTAGCATTATGCAGGTCTGGACCCTCAGACAAGATGAGCCCTGATGCCTGGAAGTCACGGAGAGATGAAGTCAAGCAGTGGGAACAGAGGGTCTGTGGGGCTGCACACCTGACGTGTGACCTATGAAATGTGGCACCAGCTGCTGGCTGCTGTGCACCCCAAAGAGCCCACGGAAGCCCTCCAGTTCCTGGCAGGGGTGGCTGGACTGGGCAGCTCAGGCCGTGGCTCCTTGGCTCCCAGCTCTGCCAGCTCCTCAGCCTGGCCTGAGCCTGCTGGGGCCTGGTGCTGAGTCGGCAGCCTGGCTGGCCTCCTTTCCCATCCTCTCACATTTCCCGGCCCAGAGGAAGCAGCAGCAGATGTGTGCGCTGTTTGCTTTATGCTGAGGCCACGAGGGAGGTACCTGCGCTCGGCCCAGATGCACCGTTTCCAAATGAAACATGAGGGCCAAGCCAAGACCATCGAAACCTGTCCAACCCCCCAGTCCCTGCCGGCTGCTGGACGGGTGCCTCCCTGCACTGTGCTGTGCAGGCCAGGATGGCTTCACTGCCGCACGGCGTCTCAGCACGGCACAGCCCTGTGGCCCTACCAGCATCTTCATGGCATCCCCACCGTCTCACGTCTTCCCACCTCCCTCCTGCCTGTCCTCGCTCTTGCAGCCAGAAACCCAGCCTTCAGTGCCGGCGATATTTCCAGAATGCCTTCCTGCCTTGCAGTAAGCAGCACTGAGCAGGATGGCACTGAGAACGAGAGGGGCCTCTGCCGGAGCCGCCGCAGCTGAGTTGTCCCCGCAAGCACCTGAGGCCTCCATGTCCCCCAGGGCAACACCGCTCCTGCCCTGTCCCAGAGCCCATTGCCATCCTCAGCTTCCTCCTGACCTCTGTCCCAGCATGGCTCTGGCCCCACCTGTCCCATAGGGACAGACCTTGTGCTGCCCAGACAGAGCCTGCAGGGTCACGCTGATGGAATAGACGGCACAGCTGAGCCCCCATGAGAGCTAACAGAGGGGCAGCAACCCCCCTCAGGACTCACTACACAGAGACTGATGTAGCACGTGCCTCTCAGCTCAAATCCCAAAGATGCTGCTTCTGAAGTAATATAACAGCAGCAGTCACGTATAACTAGTGCTGCTGTCCATCACCAGAGGGAGAGAGAAGTTACCAGTCCTGCCACAAGCAGCTTCGAGGCCTGACCTTGCTCCTCAGCACTGTTGCTGGTACTCCAGGCTGACAAGGACAGCTCTGCTCTTGTGCAAGCAATGCCTGGCAGAGCAGGTCACCATGTGAGCTGAGCTCGACGCAGTGCTTTGCACAAAGGGACTCCTTGAGATCTGCCTCTGGCATCAAAGGCACCCCCCAGCATGCAGATGTGTAACAGTGCTCTGCCAGCTTCCTGCTCACGGTGAGGGAACAGCTCTCTGCCTGTCGAAGCCATGAAATCTGCGCAACCATCCTTCTCATCTCCAACCTCTCACGGCCCTGTCTGTGCCCTCCTCAAGCTCAGCTCCTGACAGCTGTACCTACCTGTAGGAAGCAGGTACCGACCGGGGTGTTCTCCTTCAGGGACACGTTGTAGAAATTACTCCTGAACACCGGCTCGTTGTCATTGACGTCCTGCAGGGCCACAAGCACCACAGCTGAAGAAGAGAGGGCAGGGGTTCCCCTGTCTGTGGCCAGCACTGTCAGCTGAGGCTGAGGATCCTTCTCGTAATCCAGTGGGGCAGCAGTGGTGATGATACCTGTGGCAGGGTCAATGGCAAACCAGCTGGAATGGGTGTCTTGGCTGTGCACGATGCTGTACTGCACCTCCCCGTTGGGACCCTGGTCTTTGTCTCGAGCGGTCACTTGCAGGACAAAGCTGCCTGGGTACACAACCTCAGGGATGCTCTGTTTGTACTCCTGCTGGTCAAAGAGTGGAGGGTTGTCATTGATATCTATCACCTGCAGCACAAAGGTTGATTCTGCTCGGAGCGGAGGTGTTCCCGAATCAGTCGCTGTCACTCGCAAATCATAGGAGTCTCTTTCCTCCCGATCCAGAAGCTGGTCCACACAGATAAGGTAGATGATGTTGTCCTTCGTAGTGAGGGCAAACTTGCCATCCCCCCCCCTCCAGGGTGACATTGACATTGGAGTACTCTCCATAATCTGGGTCAGAAACAGAGATGCGTGCCACATACTGACCGGGCTGGGCTCCCTCAGAGATCTGAGGGGAGCCATCTTCGCTCAGAAAGATGATGGTCATGGTGGGCTGGTTGTCATTGTAGTCGCGCACGTGGATAGTGACAAAGGCTGTGGTGACCTCAGGGTGGACAGCCCTGTCCCGTGCCTGCACCACCAGCTCGTGCACCTTCCTGACTTCGTAGTCCAGACCCTTGTTGAGTTTGATGACTCCAGTTCGGGAGTCGATGGTGAAGTACTGGTCAGGATCACTCTGTCGCCGGTTGATCTCATAAATCACATCACCGTTGTCTCCTTCATCCGCGTCGGATGCGAAGACCTGCAGGATGCTACTGCCAGGTTTCAAATTCTCTGATATGAGAGTATGATAGCGGCTCTGGTTGAAGGTGGGAGCGTTGTCGTTGATGTCCTGCACGGACACATCCAACGTCATTTGGCTGCTCCTGGGAGGAGAGCCCCCATCGTAGGCTTCCAGCACCAGGGAGTACGACGAACGGTTCTCCCGATCCAAGACGTTGCTGACCACCAGGTCCAAATACAGGACCCCATTGGGTCCTCGCCGTGTTTCCAGACGGAAGGCCTGCCCCACATTGTCACCCTTGATCACGTAGCCTTGGGTATTGAGCAGGCCACTGTCAGCATCAAAGGCTGGGTCCAAGGGAAATCTGCTGCCAACAGGTGTGTGCTCTGGGATCTGGAAAGTGCTGTGTTGCTTGGGAAAGGCTGGAGCGTGGTCGTTGATGTCATTAACTTGGATATTCACTTCCACTGTGATGCCCTCGGGGGTAACAGCTATGAAGCTGTAACGGTCCCGGGTCTCTCGGTCAAGGACGCGGGCTGTTTTGATGATGCCCCTGTTCTCATCTATCCACAAGTCAGTGGCAACGCCACTGCCCTCCTGCGCTGATATGAAGTACATGTAGGCACTGGTGCCAGGGGGCAGGCCAGCACTGATGTCCCCAATGATGGTGCCTGCTGGCTGCTCCTCATCTATTTGTAGATCCAGGGTGCCCAGGACAGCAGAGCCCTTCTCTGCTCTCAGGCCCCCAAGGATTAGCAGCTCCAACAGAAGCATGGCCGACCCTTTCATCTGCTCCATTGCTAGTAACTTGCAGAGCAGAAGGTTGCTTGATCTTCTTTGCAGCACTCTTTAATCCTGCAAGGAATGCAAACCAGAGGAAGCTGGTTAAGAGAGAGAGCAGCAAACGAAGGACAGAATAAGAACGTGGGGAGGGAGAGCCTGCCAGGTACCTTCCGCTTGGTTGCTCTGTATCACTTATCCCTCATGAGTCGAAAACTTGTTAGAGCAAAGGGTGTGAAGGAAAGGGAATGAAGCCCTAGGCCAGCACCGAACGTCACCAGGCAGAGCAGACCTGGCCATGTGCTGGTATTACCAGCTGGTACTCTGTCACATCGTTTTTTTTCCCACACAGCCAAGTATCCTTCCCAACTAGCAGCCTTCCTGGCAACACCGGAGCCAGCTGGTTCCTGTGCCTTTAACAGCTGAATGCTTCCTGCAAAGCTGAGAAACAGTGTCTGCAAGACCTCAGAGATTTTTGGACAAGCAGCAGCCTAGCACCTCTCTATCCTGAAAAATATGGTCTTAAAACTGGGAGCGATCCCAACAAGTGACCCTGCCGAACCCCCCTTCCCCAGTAGCTTGCTTTTCATGACCACAGGGATTTAGGTTCACAAAAAATGCGAAGTGCAAATCGGGTGTCCCTGGTGGGGTGCAGCAGAACTGGAATGGGCTTACATCCAGAGCACAATAAATCAGAATGGCTCTATTGCAAAGGACAGACCCACAGCCGGGAATGCCCAAGATAAAACCCTGTCCTCACAGGGCAGACAGGGCCCATTGTTCAGCCAGGAAAGGAGATCTGGGGATGCCCCAAGCTGGTACCATGGAGGGTGGTGGTGGCACAGCAGGAACGCAGCAACTCCCTCTGAACTGCCAGCTGCCCTGGCTCCTTCCCCGTCCCACTCTCCACTGCTCGCTCTCCTCCTTTGTCTCCTTCTCGCTGCTCCTCGTTCGTTCTGGCTCCTTCACTCCATTTCCCCCTGCTGTAGCTTCATTTCACTGCAGCAGTGGGGGAGGGACAAGAAGGGAGGAGCGGCTCCGTGCAGCCGCAGCGCTGCTGGACACGCTGGCCATACGTGCGGCACCCAAAGGCTGTGAGCCCCCCCAGGGCTCTGCCCGCCCTCCCTGCAAGCAGCCAGAGCAACTCAGCAGTCAAAGTGCTCGTGCACAACACCAGCCCCAGTGCCGCTCCGAGCCGCCGGTAAACGAGGCTCAGTGGTCTGCAGGGATGGCGGCAGCATGAGCTCACACTTGGACTCTCTTGAAAGCATTTGCTGCTGGTCCCATAACCACGCTCAGGAGCAGCTCATGGCAGATGCAGGACGCCAGAACCTCCCTGCCTTTGGGGACAGAGGTGGCTCGTGCTGCCGAGTTTGGGGACTACAAATGGCAACCTTTGGTCTGCAGAGCTCTACAGCAGCGCCAGCCCTTCCTGAGAGATGTGGTACCATTATTTGTTGGCCCTCTTTCCCACCTCAGGACAACTGTTAGGTTGATTTTTCTTGCAGAAATTGTGGGTTGGTGACAGAAATAAAAGTCTAAAAAAGTGTTTCCTACGTATAAAAGAATGTTTACCTCAGTGGGCTACAGGAACTGGAAACCCGTGCACACCGCCAGTGCCTGATGCCTGTGCAAGCAATGCCACATGCTGCTCTTGCACCTAGCAAACACGAATCCTCATCATCTCTCAGGAACAGAAGGTCAAAGAAGTTACACGTTCTTGAGGACTGCTAGCTGGTGAGCTGCACCAGTTCAGTGGTCCTAGCCAAGTCCATCGCTCTTCCTCTTGGGAGTTAATGAAACTTCCCCAGAACAATTACGTGCATCTAGAATTGGGAGAACGGGATCCAAATTTGCTTCTGTGATGCAACTGCATCATCCTAACTGTAACTTGGACGCTTGGGTCATGGGAAGGTACAGGGCAGAGCTCAAAGCCCTGGCAGGTGGGTAAATGAAAACTTACGTAAAAGGAGAGTAGAAAAAACAGAGTAACAAAAAGAGGGATGCAGCGAGGGGATCTCAGTGGCTGAGGATGGGATAAGGCTGAAACGTCTTGAGTAGCGCCTGGCACAGGTAAGGGCACAGATATGGGGAAAAGAACCTGCCCTGGTTTGATTACTGATGTCACTCTTGGAAAGAAGAAGGGAGAGCAGCAAGGCTTTGTGGACTGCTGCTGTGGGGACGGGGAAACTGGGAACGTGAATGGGGGGTGTGAAGAGCAGCTGAGAGCACTGGGGCAACGCAGTAACACCAAGTCAGGTTTCTGGGGTGATGAAATGAGCGCAAACTTCTCCCTTTCCCTCCTTCCTGGATGCAGTCAGAGCTTTGCTGCCTCCTGGGAAAGAGACGCGACTGCCTGCTTGCCAGACTGCACAGGTCCAGGATGGGCAGAAGGCCCCCGGGGTACCGGCAGCCCTTTACTCCTATGGGACTTGCAGGGTTGGGACAGCAAGGAAGACAGCGGTAACCTCAGTTGATGCAGAGTCACCAAATCGAACAGCTGCTTCCAATTAGCAGATAGCTCAGTGCGAGGGGCTGGCTTGAGTGGTCCAGGCCCAGCCTGTGTAATGTGAGCCGGACTGCCCTGCTCCCCTCCCGTCCCTCCCACTACCGGGCACTGAGTTTCCTAGTAACAAATGGCAGCAAGAGCCTCTGAAGGAACGGTGGTGAGTATCACAGTCTGTCCGGAGAGGAGGCTGGGGTCCAGAGCCACAGTAAGGGGGTCGACAGGAAGGGTGCTGCAATGCACAGAGGTGTTTCCAGGCCTGGCTGATGTGCCCAGGCATCAGGGGAGCCGAGACTACACTTAGGAGATGAGCCTTGTTTAGAAAAAATGCATAAGGAACTACAGAAGGACTGAAGCAGAATCCCCTGCTTGCAAGCCTGCCAGTGGCACTGCTTCTCATGTCGGCCACGGAGAAGGGAAAGCAGGCCCACCCCGGCACTGGCAGAGAAGCTGGAAAGACGGCACCCACTCTGCATGCCACAAACAGATGTCAGAGTGCTTGTTGTGCAAAAGCTCCATCAAAGCTCAAAGCTGCACACGCTGCTGATGCCATACCCAAAACTTCACGAGGGGCCATGACTCATCCAGTGATGTTTTTAAGACTCCACATCAGGAGGGACATAGAATCCCATTTCATCTTTGCAGGGCACCACTCGCTGTGCTGGAATATGCTCTCCTGTTCTACATCCATGCAGATCTCTCTCAAGACTTCCAGATTTTCCCAAAGCCAAGCACGGTCCAGCCTTGCCTGCAGTGCAGCCCTAGTCTGAAAACTTTCAACCTCTGCTGTCCGTTATGACCTGAGCCACCTCCATGCCTCCCGGCCCTATCTCCTTACACCTGCATCTGCAACACCAGCATCTCTATTGCTCACTTCCACAGTTGCCACACAGTCTAATCTCCTTCTAACATCAAAACAAGCAGTGACCAGCAGTGGTAGCCATTCTCTAAGGATGCAGTCAAGCTCCACTTCATCCCATGGATTCAATTCCTGTGCCACACGAGGGCTTCCTTCAGGCTATCCTGTCTCTGAAAACATTATTCCTACAAAGGAAGCTCTAATAAAAGCTCCTCACGCAAAAGCCAGTTCCCACAGTCCCGGCCCACAAGCATCTCAGCACTGGCTGTGCCCTGCCACGCTGCGTGCCCACTGCACAGCCGTCCCGGGGTGTCGAGGCTCTCTGGCCGTCGGGCTGCCCGGCCCTCGGCGCTCCCCGGCTGTCCTTGGGGCTCTCCATCTCTCGGGGCTCCCGGCCGTCTCCCCCGGCGGCTGCTGGGGCTCCCTGCCTTTCGGGGCTGCCCAGACACGAGGCGTCCCTTCCTCCCGGCGCTCCCGGTGCCCGCGCACACCGCCGTTCCGGGGCTCTCCCCGGGTCTCCCCCCGCACGCCGCAGCCTCCGTTCCAGCACACCGCCCGCCCCAGCCCCCGCTCCGCTCGGGCCCGCAGCCCCCGCCCGGCGCCTCCGCGGCTCCTCCGCCGCGACCGCCGAACGCCCGCCCAGCGCCGGCTCAGCCCTGCGGCTCCCCGTCCCGGCGCCGCTCCCGTTCCCGCACCGTCCCGCTCCCAGCGCCGGCCTCAGTGTCGTCGGGCAGCGGGCGAGGCTGATCGGCCGATCCAGCCGTGGATCCGCGGTGCTGCGCCGCCGCGGGCGCACCCCCCAGCCCCCCCCCCCC